AAGAAGAAGGAAGACACAGATAACTCCCAGTCCAGATCAAGGTCCCGATCTGTGTCCAAGGAGCGAGAGCATGCCAAGTCTGAGTCTGGCCAGCGGGAAGGCCGAGGAGAAGGTGAAGATGTCAGTACCAACCAGGAGACCCGGTCTAGGTCCAGGTCCAATTCCAAATCAAAACCAAACCCTTCAGAATCATGCTCTCGATCAAAGTCGGCCTCAAAAACCCGGTCTCACTCTAAGTCTAGATCTAGGTCTGCTTCTAGATCACCCTCCCGGTCTAGATCTAGGTCCCATTCAAGGTCCTAACTGGCTACTACCACAGTTGGAACTACCCGAGAAGTCTTTTGTACATGTTTGGTAGCCAGAGCACAAGTGATTGAAGTAGACCACACGTCACTGCTGTACATTTTTAACTCCCCTAATGGTGTGTCTATAATTGTTAGATCTCAGTGCTTCCTCTCCGTAAAGCCTCCTGGCGCCAGGCCTTCCTGCTTGACTGAAAAGAAAAAAAAAATCTCTTTAAAATCCCCCTGTTACTCACGGCCCACAGTAGAATATCCAAAATGCCCTGCCTCTCAGGCCTGGCCTTTCCCATAGGGAGCTCAGTACCTGGAGGGCTTTAAGGCTGGAATGATGTCATAGGTAGGTATGGCGAGTTCAACCATTTTTGCCCTTGAATTGATACCCTTTGATGTATGCCATTTAGTGAAAGTGCGAAGTCTTAACTTTCCTACCACTTTGGTTTCATATTTTTGGACTTAACAAAGTTGTGAATAGCACAGTCGAGGAAAATTGATACCTGCAGTAACCCATAGAAAATAAACTGTAGAGTTCCATATTCTGGTATTGTGACTATATTGTTTTATATTAAAAAAGAAAAGAAGAATTTTTTTTAATTTTATTTTTCCCTGTCTTGCAAAGTATAGTGCCCCTTGTTTCCATTAAATTTGAATAAAGACTATTTTTGCTTGACAAAAAAACAAACAAACAAAATAACAACATATTGATTGCAGATACTTTTTAAAAACAACATAAAAGTTAGCTATTTACATGACATCACCAGATGGGACATACAGGATTAAAATAAATTTCAACTATTGAAAGAGACTAAGGAGAAACTCAAAATCATCAGTCAGAACAAGACCATCAATTGTTCATGTGCAAATAGAAGTTGAAGAAAATGAAAACGAGCAACATCATGATAGATGGAGAAATCTCTGTTGTCAAGGATTTTCTTTTACTAGGATTCATGATGAATGTCTGTGGATGCAGTGATCAAGGAACCAAATAATGCATCCTGGATAAGTTGGCCACATAAGACCTCTTTCAGGTGTTGAAAAGCAAAGATGTCACTTTGAAGAGAAAGGTGTGCCTTACTCAAGTCCATGGTATTTTTAGTCTGTTTATTTTTAAAATTTTAAAATTTTTTGCCCCTGGTATTTTTAACTGCCTTATAAGCACTTGAAAGCTGGACTGAGCAAGACTGAAGAATTGATGCATTTTAATTAAGTTTGTGAAACAAATAGATCGTATAATAGCTTGTTTCCGGAAACCCTATGAACCTGGAGAGAGGATGAAAGACACCCAAGCATTGAGGACTGTCCTTCAGTGTCGCTATGAGTTGCCTGCGACTCGATGGCACTTAACAACAACAATAGCAACAATGGAGGATAGAAAATGAATTCTAAGAATTCTCCATAAAAAGCAGGATGATGAGGCTTGGCTTCATCTCACATTCTCTGGACATGTTCTCTGCAGAGGGAAATCATGTCTGGTAAAGCAGTGTGAAAGTAAGATTCTCCACAAGATGGACTGACAACAATGCAGCAGCAATGAGCTCAAACACAGCACGGAAGTGAGCACAGCACACGACTGGGCCTTCTCTCATCCAGTACAAAGGACAGCTGTGTGTCAGAACTGACTTGATGGGACCTAATACCAAGAACATCTTTAACATAGTGTGTTTTAAATGTGTCTTCTGATTGCAAATATACTGGTGTTTGATAACTGCTTGTGTATGCTTGCTAGTAGAAATTTGTCTCAGTTATAAGTGTCCTTGTAAGAGTATTAGGGGAAATATTGTAATAATCTATAATCTAATAATAGGTTTAAAGTTAAATCTAGGTTAATTCAGGAAGGTTTTGCTTCTGCCATAAATATCTCCTAACAATACTGAAAGGCCACTTTACTTTGAATTCCCATGGCAAATATAATCCATTTCCACGCTTATATTGATCTAAACGATCTCATCTTCTTCAAATGCCAAAACTGAGACTAAGGCAGAAACCAAGAACCAAGTGAGCATCCTGGCCTTGACCTTGCTCTTGCTAAGCCAAACTCATTTCTCCCTCTACTCTCAGATGTCCTCCCTCTCGCTTCGACAAGCCACTTCTATGGTGTGCAGACGCATCCTGGGATCCTCTCTTGAACGTTAGCAGGACATCAGAGTACTTCTTTAATTATTTTTTTTTTATCCTGAGATTTAACACTTCTATTTATCAGAACACAAAAAGCAACTGTGGGCCAAGATGTTGTGTGCAAAACAGCCAATTCCAATTCATAGCAACCAACATAAGGAGAAGCAATGCTACACATGTAGACACATGCTTTGGCATTAGACTGTGTTTAAAAAGTCCAAGTTCACCAGATTGTTCAATCATTAGCAAATCTGGGAACCAGGTCCAGGTAACAGTTAACGGGAAAGCAGGGAGGAAAAACAAGATCCTATTAGGCATTGACCATAAACCATGCAACAGGCTGCATATTTAGTTGAACTATGAACAATCTTGAAGTTACTATTATCTCATTAAACAGATGAGAACACTGAGACTCCTGGACCAGGCTGCCTGCCTAGTTGATTAGTAAGATGGAGATAGTGCTGAGGCTCAGACCCATCCATTCTACACAGCTCATGCTCTGTCCACATCCACACTGATCAAGAAGGTGAGACCCTCACATGAACCAAGTCTAACCATCCAATGGTCACTTACTGTATGTGCTTTCCTTTATGGCAAATTCCTTGAGTGGAGTTCTAAATTCATAGGGCAGGCGAAGGGAGAGGACTTTCTTCTGCATTTTAGTCGATTTATGAACCAGGAAGATCTAGTGGACAGAAAAGATATTCAAGCTTAAGAAGTATTTAGAACACTGGCTTCCCTCATATGTGATTTGGAGCACGGCTCATTGTTAGACCTTTGAAAGTCAGGGAAAGAGGCACTTAATGACTGCCTACCCCACAGATGCCTTTCTTTGACAAATGGCCTCCTAAGAATGCTAATTTCCCTTTGAGAGCCTTTTCTAAGAGGTTAAGAGCTCTCTGAGAATGCACAGGCATAGTCAATATCACTACTGTTATAATGTTCATGTTACATACTTCCAAGCCCACTTTCTAAAAATTTCATACTGATTTATTTACAAAGTTTGTATACATTGTTTTTCACAAAAGATCTTTCCCATTTCCTTCAACCCCCCTACCCCCATCGAATTGTGCAATCCTTTATATTTGCACCTTCATTGATGAGTACCTAAGTTTTAAGCAGTGATGACAGGCAGAAGCAGAGGTGATGTACTGGGAATTCATTAATCATGGATAAATTTAAAATCAGGATTTGTATCTTTGTTCAACAGTGAACTGAAATCCAGTGAACTGCCCCTGAATCAATTCTAACTAAAAAAGCCTTTCATCAGATTTCTGAGGTTATAAATCTTTCCTTGAAGAGACTGCCCATTTTCCCTCTACAGAGTAGTTGGTGAATTTGAACTGTCAGCTTTTAGGTTAGTGATCTGGCATATTGCTCATTACATCATTGCAGCTTCTTAAATGGTACCAGAGCTCCATGAACAGTGAACAATAAGCCAGAAGTTCTAATTCCATATTTAAATACAGATGTCCATTTTCCCTTGAAAAACCAGATAATCTGGCAACACGAGGACTCTCCTTCCACGGGGCAGCGACCACCCAGATCTGAGCCAGGCTGTTCTTCCTAATGTGAAGGCAGTAGCTGAGCTCTGAGTTGGTTCATCCTACCCTCACTCACTTTGTGTTCCAACAATCCCCACCTGTTCCCAGCATTGTCTTTAGAAAAGTATGCTTTAAACTAGCTTGACTCCCAGAACAGATCTAGAAATCCATTCTGACCATCTTCAGTGCAACAGTGGTAAGACTGTGTGCTGTACAATCCTAGGGCACACTTACCAGACAGGGCCAGTGATGCCTCTTGGAGTGTGTGGAGCAGCAGCCAGGCTTGGCCATGCTTCCCTTTTATGGTAACTTTCCCTGCTCATAGGCTCTCTCCTCTGCATATAAACAACTTCACAAGTACTACTCTGCTTTCCCACCACCCCCAATCTATTCTTCACTCAAGAAGTCATTACAAAGAAAGAAAAGACCAAAATAGATGTCATAAGAAACTCTAAAACTTGTACTAGAATGTAAAGATGTCAAAACAATGGGAAGAAATGCTGAGGTGAGGTAAATGAACAAAAAATGTCAAAGAGCACCTCTGAGAGACAAAGGTAAATATTACAATAAAATATGCAAAGACCTGGAGTTAGAAGCCCAAGAGAGAAGAAAATGCTCAGCAATTCTCAAGCTGAAAGAGTTGAAAACAAAATGAAGTCTTGAGTTATAATACTGAAGGATTTTATAACCAGAATCTTGAATGATTCAGGAAATATCAAAAGAAGATGGAAGGAATACACAGAGTCACTGTACCAAAAGAACTGGTCAACAGTGAACCATTTCAGAAAGTAGAATATGATCAAAAACCTTGTCTAAAGAGGACAAAGTGGGATAAGGTGAACAGGGCCATGAGCATCTCTGACAGAGCCAGAGGGAGTAAGAATAGCATAGCCTCTCCCCACTGTAAGCAGAAAGCAGAAAAAGAGCCTGTATCCCAGCCACATGGTGCCCCTAGAGCAACATTAACAGCAAGAGATTCGTTTATTCATTGTTGACTCACAAACTTACAGTTGTGGTTGTGAGAAGGGGGTTTATTAGGACAGTAAACTGGAGAGTGGGGGAGGCAATATCCCAATACAAGCCCAGGTTTTAGCCTACATTCCAAGGCACAATTTCTCAATTAATCCAGACTCTGGTTTCAGTTTCAAATCCAAATCATCCAGCAAGGTTGTCCTCAGAGCAGTTGTAAGTCAGCTTCTTCTTCAAGCATCTGGCAAGAACAGCAAAAACCTTTAACTGTGGCTAGTACAAATGCAAGAAGCCTCAGGTTACACGTTGCCACAGTTTCTCCACAGCAATGCCACAGTCTCTCCACCACTATCATCAGCATCTGGCTCTCACCAGGTCTTACTCCAGTCTCCTTCAAGTCTTGCTGTCACAATTCTGGCACTTCAAGTTTTGCTGCTTTGTGTGGGAAGCACCACATATCCCACAGCTGTTAGTGTATTTCAAGGCCATAGAGATTTGCAAGACCACATGCCTGCAATTAAGGTAGGTGGAGACCACAGGCAACTAACTGTTTACAAAGACCAACTTAGAGGCTAACACCACAAACCTGTAGTACTGAAGGAAGAAGTTCAAGTTGCAATGAACGAAGAGACAAAATATAAGTCCCCAGGAATTGATGGAATACTAACTGAGGGGTTTCAATAAGGATTTGGAAGATAGCTGGACTGGAAGAGATCCATATTTATTACCATCTCCAAAAATCCAATCTACAAAGTGAATAAATTATTCAATAATATCATTAATATGATATGCAAGTAAATCTTACTAAAGATGATTTAATAATGACTGGAACAGCAGTGCATTGATAGAAATGCCAAAAAGAACAGTTGGATTCAGAAAGGGAAAGGGATATAATTTCTGATGTTAGACAGATCTTGGATGAAAGCAGGTAATACAAGAAAGATGTTTACTTATGTTTTATTGACTGTGCATAGGATTTTGACTGCATGGATTATAATAAATTGTTAACTTCATTGAGAAGAATGGGAATTCCAGGGCACTTAGTTCTATTCATGAAAAACCTAAACATCGACCAAGAAGCTGTTGTGCAAACAGAACAAGGTAACACTATTGTTGTTGTTATGTGCCATTGCGCCGCCTGTGACTCATAGCAACCCTATGTACAACAGCCCTAAACCCTGCTCTGTCCTGTGCCAACTGCCTTGCCTCTGACACACCCATCCCGATTACCCCAGTCACTGAATCAATCCACCTCATAGAGGGTCTTCCCCTCCTGCCCTGTCCCTCCACCCTACCAAGCATGATGTCCCTCTCCAAGGACTTGTCTCTCCTTACAACATGTCCAAAGTATGTCAGACGAAGCCCCAGAATCCTTGCCTCCAAGGAGTAGCCTGGTTTAACCCTCTCCAGGATGAATCTGTTTGTTTTCCTGGCAGTCCATGGTACATTCAGTACCCTTCTCCAGCACCACAGCTCAAAGGCATCAATTCTCCTTCTATCCTCCCTAGTCATTGTCCAACTCTCTGATGCATAACAAGTGATTGCAAAGACCATGGCCTGTATCAGGCGCACCTTAGTCTCCAGAGAGACACCGTTGCTCTTGAGTACTCTAGAGAGGTCCCTAACAGCAGACTTTCCCATCGTGATATGTTTTTGATTTCCTGGCTGCTGGTGCCAAGAGTGATGACCGTGGAGCCAAGCAAACTGAAGCTGTGAACACTCTCAATCTTCATCATCCATCTTGATGCTACCAATTGGTCCAGTGGGGAGAATCTTTGTCTTCTTGACATTGAGCCTCAGTCCATACTGAAGGCGGCAGTCCTTGACCCTCTGCAGCAAGTGCATGAGGTCCCCCTCAGTTTCGGCAAGCAGGGTTGTGTCATCTGCATAACATAGATTGTTAATAGATCTTCCACCAATCCTGACGCCACACTTCTCCTCACAGAGCCCAGCCTCTCGGATAATCTGGTCTGCATACAGGTTGAAAAGGTATGGAGATAGGACACATCCCTGGTGTACACCCTTCCCAATTTTGAACCAGGCAGTGCTACCCTGCTCTGTTCTGACGACTGACTCTTGGTCCAAGTATAGGTTTCGCATTAGCACGATTAAATTTTCTGGGATTCCCATTCTTCTCATGGTTTAAAATCAGGAAAGATATGCATCAGAGTTCAAGTCTTCCTCCATACTTGGTCAGTTTGTATACTGAACAAGTAATTTAGGAAGCTGAATTGTATGAAGAATAATATGGCATTAGTCTTGAAAAACTCATCAACAACCTCATGCAACATTATGCAGAGGACAAGCTTGCTTGAAAGAAGTGAAGAAGACTTGTAGCAATTGCTAAAGGGATCAAAGACTACATACTTTAAAATTAATTACATCTCAAGATGAAGAAAACAAAAGTCCTCAACATGGGCTTGCAGTCAAGATTCAAAGTTGTCAATAATCTCATTTAACTTGGATCCAGGATCAACACCAATGGTTGCAGCAGTCAAGAAATCAAAAGATATGTTGCATTAGAAAAATCTGCTGTCAAGGACTTTCCAAAGTGAAAAGGTTTCCGTTTAAAGTGTGCCATGATATTTTTATTTGCTTCCTGTGCATCTGAAAGCTGGAGAATGAATAAGGATGCTAGAAGAATGCCTGTGGATTGCGGTGTTGGAGAAGAGTACTGAATGAATATTCTATGGATTGCCAAAAGAACAAGTAAATCTGTTTTGGTGGAAGTGTTACTATGGTGTCCCTTAGAGGCAAGGATGCTGAAACTTGGTCTCATATACTTTGAATATGTTGCCAGCAAAGGCCAATTCTTGGGAAAAGACACCATATTCAGAAAGCTAGAGGGTCAGTGAAAGAGGAAAAGGCTTTCAAGTGATGGATTGATGCAGTGACCATAACAATGGGCTGGGGCATATGAGAAATGGAGAGAATGCAAGATAGGGCAAGATTCTGATTTCTTGTTCACAAGGTCACATGACTCAACAGTACCTCACAACAGTTCTTCACTCTCTGTATGTTCAGTTAATAGACTGTAACCAGTCGTTATCAAGCTAATCCTTATATATGGAGACTCCACGTGTCATTTTAGAACTATACACCATGGGGTTTTCAATGATCAAGTTTTTTTGAAGTAAATCATCAGGCCTTGTTGTCAAGGAGGCTCTTGGTG